TTTTTGTTACATAGTGAAAAATTCTTCGAATAATTTAATTTTATCTGACTCATTTATATTGATAATTCAGACATACATTATACATTTTAAAGTAGACGACTTTAAAATGATATTGCCAATATTGTTGAGTTGCGCTCCTGGGACGACTTTACTTATAAGATAGTTCATTCTATTACATGAAATCAACTTTAACTTGAGAATATCCGTCAGAAAAAATCATAGCATATAATTCGTCTTTAAAAAGACAAACACATGACATGATGACAGTAAAATTCTCCTGTTAGTGATTCCATAGTAAATTATGAGGGAAAAACCAGGAAAAAAACCTCATAATACTATCCCGACATGGTAAGTATTTGTTCGTGCATTTATTAGTTTGCCTTCAATAAACACCAAAATTCTGATTTTATATGTTTCGTTATTTAAAAACTATAAGTGATGTATCCTCTATATGTTACTGACTTACTAATATTGGTATTTTCTTATTAATAACTTCCTCTTTCAATATTGGTAACCAGATCCTACTACATTCTGCCGAGGAATTTGCGACACAATTGGCCCCATTTAGCATAATTAGAGCCGCTTCTTTGATTTTTCTTTTTTTACCATTCGTTTTTTTAGGACTACATTTGAATTATTAGTCCATTGAACCCTATGTTCATTATCCCATGCGTGTTTACATATTTGAGATCTATCAAATTCTCTATTTTTAATATAAGATTAATGTTCACTTATTCTAACATTCAATGGCCTTGATGTTTCACCTAAATAAAACTGATCGCATTCACAAGGTATTCTATAAATGCAATTCTTTGTCCTTTCTTGTTCATTGTTAGGTTTGGTTTTGGACAAAATAGATCTGAACGTGTTTGTTGTTTTGAATGTTGTTGAAATGTTGAATTTATTTCCTATCCGTTCAAGTTTTTCTGATAATCCTTTTATGTACGGTATTGTTATTTTCCTCGTATTATTCCTTGTGTATGCTGTAGGATCTCATTCTAAGTTGTTCTGTTCTATTCGATCGATTGTTGAAAATTCCTTATTTATAAACGATAAAGGATAATAATTTTTTAATAAAACAGAAAAAATAGAGCCAAAATTACTTGTTCTAACGAAAATTCGTACTTGGAGGAAAAACATTTGTTAACATCTGCTTTATTAAAAAATGATTATCCTTTATCGTTTATAAATAGGGATTTTCAACAATCGATCAAATAGAACAGAACAACTGAGAACGAGATCCTACACCATACACAAGAAAAAATACGAGAATAATAACAATACCGTACATAAAAGGATTATCAGAAAAACTTAAAAGGATAGGAAATAAATTCAACATTTTAACAACATTCCAAACAAACAAACACGTTGGGATCTATTTTGTCCAAAACCAAACCTAGCAATGAACAAAAAAGGACAAAGAATTGCATTTATAAAATACCTTGTGAATGCGATCAGTTTTATTTAGGTGAAACATCAAGGCCATTAAATGTTAGAATAAGCGAACATCAATCTTATACTAAAAATAGAGAATTTGATAGATCTCAAATATGTAAACACGCATGGGATAATGAACATAGGGTTCAATGGAATAATTCAAATGAAGTCCTAAAAGAAACGGATGGTAAAAAAAGAAAAATCAAAGAAGCGGCTCTAATTATGCTAAATGAGGCCAATTGTGTCGCAAATTCCTCGGCAGAATGTGTTAGGATCTGGTTACCATATTGAAAGGGGAAGTTATTAATAAGAAAATACCAGTATTAGTAAGTCAGTAACATATAGAGGATACATGATTTATGTTTTTTAAATAACGAAACATAAAATCAGAATTTTGGTGTTTATTGAAGGTAAACTAAATGCACGAACAAATACTTACCATGTCGGGATAGTATTATGAGGTTTTTTTCCTGGTTTTTCCCTCATAATTTACTATGGAATCACTAACAGGAGAATTTTACTGTCATCATGTCATGTGTTTGTCTTTTTAAAGACGAATTATATGCTATGATTTTTTCTGACGGATATTCTCAAGTTAAAGTTGATTTCATGTAATAGAATGAACTATCTTATAAGTAAAGTCGTCCCAGGAGCGCAACTCAACAATATTGGCAATATCATTTTAAAGTTGTCTACTTTAAAATGCATAATGTATGTTCGAATTGTCAATATAAATGAGTCAGATAAAATTAAATTATTAGAAGAATTTTTCACTATGTAACAAAAAACAAAATTTGTTTAATTTACTGTTTGTGAGAACGATTTCCGAAGTGGAAATTGAAACGTCAATAAACGTATTTTTATCTTTAATTGTGGCTTATTCCCAGTTAAATAGTAATTAATTTAAAATTCCACAAGAAAATAGCTTCAGAACAATATAAAAAAAAATAGATAAGAATAAGCCTAAAAATAAACTGTGGTATTAATATTATTTTAAAGCTGAACTAATCTATTGTACTAAAAATTTTTAGCTCAACATATTTATTTATATATATATACACACCTATAATCCTCTGCATTTGTAACCTCTATTAGCTTGAGCCGAAGCTGATCCTCGAGAATCATGTTTTCACAATCACGGAATACTTTTATGCTTAATAACACACGAAATACGATTTGATTAGTACTTAGGGTTGAATTGCAATTTGTTTGTCAGTATTATTTATACTGCAATTCAACAATCATCTATTTCTGTTGCCAAATCACGTGCCAGCAAGTGAAAATATAGACCAGTCGAGATGTATCTAGTTGTTTATACTATTAATATAGGGAATATTTGGTCAACGCAATTAAATATGTTAGGTGCTATAAAAATTAAAGTAATAAAATTATTTTCTAAATCTATAAATAATCTGCCTTGAACTAATAGCTGCATTGTTGCCTTTTATTATTAAATTTTGTAGGCGGTATAATGTAGAGATAGTTATTGGACTAAAATCATTTGTTATTGTTGGAATAAGTAAATTTACTATTAATATTTTTTTATTGAGTTTAATGCGTCGACAACTAATGGTAATTGGCATGGTACAGTGATTTTTTACAGTCAGGTACCTAGTGTAGAGTGTAGTGTGTGTGTGTAGAGTAATTGTCTTGATACTAGCAAAGTCGACGTCATTGTCTTTGCTAAGAGACGCTAATTGTATCCGAACGTCTGCGGTCAACTACACCATTTTGAATTTCTTCATTTAGTTTTTGAGCAAAAACTAAATCTGTTTCAGATATTTGAGCAAGAAAGTTTTGTTTTTATTCAGCAGCCCAATATATAAACCATTCTTTGAATAATTTCACCTAAAAAATACCTATGGTAAGACATTCATAATATAGACAATAAATCAGTCATCCTATAAACAGTAAGATACACAATATATAGTTATGCTAAGCAATATTTGCTGCAATGAATCTGCTTATTAAAGTAAAAATATTTTTTTGCCTTTTATTCCCTTTCCATTTTCTTATATCTGTTGAACCAAAATACTTGACAATATTCCAGTTGAATATACAATTAAAAACTTAAAATTTGTTTTTTAGAACTTTATGAGATCATTACTTAGTATACTCATCATCAACCCTAATAAGTATAATATCTTTAAATGAGAACAGTGAAATGTATTAAGTACATGATACTTAAAATGAAAATATTTGTACACTGGTGTGTTTCCATAAACATGTAATACAAAGACTGTTGTAGTTGTGTCTATAAATAGGAAAAATATTGTAATCAAACAAGAAGGGTACTATTACAATAATTTCTCATGTAGCTCATAAATTTTAATTACAAAATCTATTTAGTAGTAACAATAATATAACCGATTATAAAAATGAATCCTATAAAATGTTTTAGATAATCTTACTATAGGTATAATTGTGGCTAACCCATATTTACTTATATTACTTATATTTTGGAAGATCTGAGTGGTTGTTAATTTGACGTAAAATGGGCATTTCATTCTTGAAAAATAAGCTGTGTACTATCTGTCGTATAGATGTTTTAACTCTTTCATTGTATGTTGCAATCGACCACCAATATTTTTAGGACATCTTACTGTTCCAGTCTGCTTATATTCTTTAATTGTTCGGTGAATAGTTGAATTCGCAACATCTAAAATTATCACATTACTTTAGTAAGTCTTGATTTTAATAATAACTAGTCTGCAAAACTAACCTGATGCCTGTTTTGTTGCTGCATTCCAGAATTATTAATTTTCATTATTTGTTTGTACATGTTTATAATACATTGTTTCTCATTTGATGATAAATGACCCAAATCTAGTTAGCGTTTTTAAGGTGGACAAGAATTATCACCACTAATATTTCACATTGAATCCATATTGTTATCTTAATAACACTAATATGTCGCTAAATAGTTCTGAAAAGAACTGTTTTTTATATAAATGCAAACGAAAAATCTAAAAATGTAACGAATAACGCAGAAAATACAAAAAATCGTCGATATAAATTTTGAAATTTAAAATTTCACAAATGTCATTATTGTCAATATGTCATAATTTAGTGGAGTAAATTTGCCTGCGGTTGAACCAATTACAAACAAGCATTGCGGCGCGGAAAATTTGAATTACTCCTCCTGTTTAAAAAACAGACCGTAGTAAGTCAAATAGCATCTAAAAGTCACAAATTGCATATTAAGGGGACTGTAAGTTACAGGATCTGAATTTGGAGGAATTTGTGAGTTAGGCACTGTAGTACTGATATCGTAGCCCTGCTACAGCTGTTAATGGGACTTTTAATGAAGAATTATATATTAATAGGAAAAAAGAAATAAAAATGAAACTTACTCACAATTACTTTATTCTACCACTAATGACCGGTTTTGCAAACTGTAATTTGCTATGCATCTTCAGGTCAACGGTACCTGGTAAAATAAATGCTTAAAATATAATAACTCCTATTAGGGTGTTGTCTAGTACAGAATATACAGCAATTATGCCAACATTATATGTGTATAACCTGGACGAGCGTATAACCAGGATAGAATATAGCACCAAAGGAGCTATACCTAAAAGACTTGGTAATGGCGGGTAGTTTACGAATATTTAATCACAAAACAAGTACGTTTTGTATACTCATAATAAAGTACATTAAATAAAAAGGTAAAATCCCGGGTCGTCCAAAACTAGTTTCTGATAGCAATAATAGAATATTATGATATTTTTTAATTATAATATGAATATTATGATATTTTTTATCTGACGTACTTTATTATGAGGATTATATAACATACTATTAAGTACGTCTTGTGATTATATATCGTTTGAAATATTGCTTATTCGGCATTATTATCATCACTTTAAAAAAATATATTAAATTAACTAGAAAATATTAAACATTTATTAAAATATTCTCAATAAACTCCAGCTAAATCCTAACAAAAAAGTTTAAGTTGGTTGCCTACATTTGGCGCAACCTAACGATATAAACTAAATTATTGTAACTTTTTTATAAAATATGTTTTTTTATATATAATAGAAACTTACTTTCTTTATACATGCTATAAATTTCTAAGTCATAGTATATAAGTTTGCAAAAGAGGTCGACGAAATACTCTAATGAAATGCGCTATGAGCACGTGTGCTTGGTTGTTTAGTAATTTCCAGCCACTTCTAGTCCGTCAAAAAGTAACTAACTTCGTAAAAACATAATTACTAAAATCACTAGACAGTTCGGACTGGGATTAGCGAACCGAGTTTACTATAATGCATTAGAGCCTAAGGAATATTGCTGAATGTAACCTTAGATAAGTTTTTTTTTAATATTTTGTATATAGAACTAACTTGCTTATTGATCATAGTGAATGATCAGCTATTGTTGTTGTTTGTTTGTGTTTAAATGACTGCGGACACTAAATCCATTCGCCAATCTTACAATTTGAGGTGTAGTGTGTGTGTGTGTAGAGTAATTGTCTTGATACTTAGCAAAGTCGACGTCATTGTCTTTGCTAAGAGACGCTAATTGTATCCGAACGTCTGCGGCCCCTCCGGTGTGTACCGATCACACAAGGATAGAAATTATTTTCACTTATTAATTTTTTTTTAATAAACGAAAATTTCCACCCAGGTGGGATTCGAACTCACGACCTTTAGATTTAAAGGCAGGCGCTCTTACCACTGAGCCACAGAGGGGGTTAATGATCAGCTAGCAATAATCATAAAATTCTTGTTGGAGTTTTATTAAATAAAAAAAATTATATGGGTAATTATTAGATATGACTTTAAAATTGATTAAATAAAACAAAATGTAACTAAGTGAAAGAACAATCCAGTAAAATTGAAATTATATAAATAAATATTACTTACATGTTAATAATATATTAAAAAACTGTTATGGTAAACTGGTGACAGGTGATTGGTGGTACTGCAACTATTAACGAATAAAGGAAAAGTTCTTGAGGGGAAAAGATATTAACAACTAGACTAGGAATGTAGGTATTGTGTAAATTGTTTGTTGAAAATTAAATGTGATGTGTTATATTATTTAAAAGTTATTTACATTAGGTGTGTACATATAGGTGTTATATTTTTGATATAAGTTTGGGTGTGGAATTTTAGTCTGTCCATTCTTTAGTTTTTTAGTTCTTTGTTCAAAAGTTAAATTTTTATTAGAAATTACTTAAAACAGTTTGTTTCGTTTGTGTTTACGTTATTATAATAATAAAAGTTTAAAGAGAATTAAAACTTTAAGTTTTTATTTTAAAAATGCAAGTACTCGGTTTTTCGTGCCGGTGAGTGTATTTTCTACTAAGAATAGGAGAATATTAGTAAACGTTTGCAAAAAAGGTCAAAGAAATACTTTTAAGGCAAGTTACTGCTAAATGGAATCATTAAACTGGATTAAATCTGGCAAAGGAATGCTGTCGCAAGTGGAAACATAAATCTGGATTTAAGTTTAATAACGTTGAATTACAGATAACAACTTAAAAGTGTACTCGTGTTTTCATATATTTTAACATATTTTCTTTTAGGCAAAGGAAAAGCTATTGTTATCGGCTAAATAAAAGCAAGCCAAGCTTAGTTGGGCACAATCTAAACTTTTTTGGTCGGCAGAATATTGGTACCGAGTGATTTTTAGTGAAGACTTAAGATTCGATGTTTTCATGGCTACGCAAACGAGTTATTTGCACGAATCATGAGACATTAAAGACTGTTTGAAACGAACCGGAAAATTTCCTAAATTAGTGATGATTTGGCAGATCCTAAAAAAGCAGCTCTTGAGGGCAGCAAAAACAGCTGGAATAAAGGTAAATGGAGTTCCCATTAACAACAATAGATAAGCGGATGACACTGTGATCTTATCCGAAAATATTGAACATTTTCAGCTACTGGTGGCCAGAATAGCAGAGTATGGAAAAGAGTGCGGTCTAACAATGAACATCAATAAGACAAAATTTATGAGAATATCGAAAACTCACAGAAATGACGAGAATCTTCTAATAAACGGAACCAGTTGAACAAGTGGAAAGCATGTCTGAGAACAATGATTAACTCCACAAATGATTACAATCAGGAAATCAAAATAAAAATAGAAAAGGCTATGGCAAATTTCAACAAAATGAGAAGAGTTCTATGTACAATGGATTTAAAATTGGAACTGAAACATAGGTTGGCGAGGTGCTATATTTTTTCGACTTTGTTTTATCTGATATCATTCGAGCTGTGCGTGTATAGAAGAATTCTGAAAATATCGTGGACAGAACACGTCACAAACAAAGAAGTTCTGAGAAGGATGAATAAAGAATTTTAAATACAATTAAAATAAGAAAATTGGAATGTCTCGGACATATTACACGTGAAGAGAAATACTCCTTGCTCCAACTGATTATGCAGGAGAAGATCCGAGAAAAGAAAAGCATTGAGAGATCTAAAATATTATGGTTGCATAATCTGAGAGATTAGTATGAATGTACATCAAATGAACTTTTCAGTGCAGCCGTCTCAAAAGTCGGAATAGCTATGATTATTACCGATCTCCGGCGCGGAGATAGCACTAGAAGAAAAAGATGGCAGTTTCTGCACAATATTATCAAATACCTCAAAATAGCCTACCACCAAGTATTGTGAAATTAAATACTATCGGGAATTATATTTTTCAGCAGGATAAAGTGGATTGTTATACGGCCAGAACCACAAACAACTGATTTCCTTTTTTTGGCATTCTAAAAGTCCTGGCCTAAATGTCATTGGAACGGTATAGCATAAAATAAAACAGACACTAACGAGTAATCCACACTGGATATTACACGAACTTAAAGCCAAAATAGAGCAGATTTGTAATGAATTTACGTCTAAACAGTGCAGGTCCTTGGTCGATTAAATGCCCAACCGAATTAGAGCGGCCACCAAGCATAAGTGCGGTGAGATTCGTTTTATGTCTCAATATATAGTTGCCAATAAAATAAACAATATTTATTATTAATCAGTTCTATTAGTTTAAGTATATGTTGTTTTGTGTTGCTGATTGAATCTATATTGTTGTAGGCGACTAGGCGAGCGGTTTATCCTTATAACCAGAACATAAATTGACTATATTTTTTTGCATTTCTACCGCACCAAAACTGTTTTATTTAAATTTATATATTTTTTTCACGTTAAATGTATTTTTTTTACTTTTCCAAGTGGACTCGAAATTTTTATTAACAAACAACTTATAACAAAAAAAAAACAATGTCTCAAATCGCTTTGAGTAAAATTGTCTTAGGTGTATCTCATCGAAATAAATAATTTTTCTTTCTTGATAATTTGTAAAAAAATATTTCCTTTTCGAGTTATTTGAAATTTTTTATTGAAAAAATGCCTTAATTAGTGAATTTTGGGATTTTTTTCTGGAAAACTACTAAATGAATTTCAATTCTTTAATATGCTTTATAATCTTTAAACCTTTAACTACAAATCAGAATATTTCGACAAAGATAAATAGTTTATATCTTGCTGCAGATATGGGACCAAATATTTCGAATACGCATTTCGAGCAATCTATTGCTAATACAATATAATAAGCGTGTACAGCTAAACAGATTTAACTGCAACGGTGACGATTTGAAACGACAAACGTTGGTTGATGCGGTGTTGCCTAATCGAATATTATTTTTGAGGTTATCCATTGAACTGTAATACTAATACTCCTAATGAGTTTATAATTAAATTTATTATCAGAACACTAATATCAAAATTAAAATGTTTGAGGTAATTAATAAAATATGTTATTTGCGGAAGTTGTTAGTCATAATCATTAAAATGAATTGAACTTTTTTGCAATATGGCTCGTTCGTAAGTTTCGTCAGTAATCACTATAAAGGCTATAGCGGGATAAGATGGTCAAAATTGCACCATACTCGATTCAGTTTTGGGTCTGGTCATTCGAAAACACGTAACTAAAAACTCACTCAGTTAAATTTTCAAGTCCCTAGGTGCCTCTGGGCATTCGCTAAAACGTATTTAAACAAAAAAATTCTTAGACGCTGTATTGCTGCAAAAAATCTGAAAAAAATTATGAAAGCGTATTTTAATAGTACAAAACCATCTAATTTTTTTTTAATTTTTAGCTTAAAAATCGAGCCCAGAAAAAATATTTGAAATTTTCAGTGATATTTTAGGTTATGTCGAAAATTTTTGGCCAACTTTAAAACAATGCTTTTTTATGAGTTTTTCCCGTTCTTTCGAATGGCATAGGTCAAAAAACTGCTAACATACATATTAATATAATTCATATTTTTATATGTATTCTTACCTTTACAATCGTAATAAGCTATTAAAAATTTTTTTTTCCTACAGTATGCTCCAAAAACCGAAAAACCACGTTTTTTCGGCGTTGTTTTTAAGCTTTCGCTATATAACCTCTAAATTCAGTGTCTAAATAAATGGTAATTTATATTTTGACATGTATCTTTCCCTCTACAATATAGGCGAAGCTACATTGTGTACAGAAATGTAGTTTTTTGAGGTTATGTAGTAAAAACATGGAGAAAACGGGGTTTTTCGGTTTTTGAGAGTGTTGTGAGTTAAAACTAATGCTTTGAATAGCTCATGTTGATTGTAGAGGGAAAGATACGTGTGAAAATGTAAGTTACCATTCATTTAGACACTGAAGTTAGAGGTTATATAGCGAAAGCTTAAACACAACGCCGAAAAAACAGGGTTTTTCGGTTTTTGGAGCATACTGTAGGAAAAAAAATAATATTGATATAAGGTTGAATGCTCGAATAAATGAACTTTGATAATATGAAAGGTAAACATCGAGCACATCATTAATTTAATCTTGCCCAAGTACTTTCGATCACTAGATCATCTTCAGGGGCATTTCGTCAATTGCGGCCTATCCGATAAGAGTAAAATGTCATAAATATAAAATGGAACATTACAATACACTACACAAGGACGACCAAACACTTTAAAATTTTTGAAAATAGGCGATGCTACATTGTCTATAGAAGCCGAAACCTATAGACACTGCCTCTATAATTAATAATAAATATTAATTAATAATAAATAAATTTTACCTAATAGTTTGTAAACAACTCATTGAATCAGCCTTAAACTGAAAACAACACATTTGGCACACTGTTGCCAAACGTTTGTAACTAAAATCAGTTCAAACTGGACGTTAGTGGCATATTTAAATAAGGTGCGTTTGCCCCGTGCGTGTTTTTACCCCCAACTACCCTACTTTATTAATTTGCCATTTACTTCGTTATTTTATTCAGTATTTTCTTTTATATTGTCTTTTATTTAAAGATGTATTGTGTTTCCTTTTTTATTAATATACATTTCTGAATTGGGTAGATATATTTCATATTTAAACTTGTAACGTCGGCAAACATATCAAGTACTCATTAAATTTTAGATAAGTACAATGCTCTATACAAACAAGAATTGTCCCATCTCTAACTTTTAGCGTCAAACAAACTTGGCAGCTTGTGCTTGAGAGTCTAGGTCATTTTTATTTGTTCTCTACAAATAGCAAATGAAAACTTTGGAGTAATTCAGCTTGCAAAAGTTTTCTCTTTTACAAGCAATATCAAAGCATGTTTAAAAAGGTTTTTCATCATTTTATTTAATTTGTGTCATAAAATGGGTGAAACAGTAAAAGGTAACATAATTTGCTTATATATTGAGGTAGATAGTAAGTAGTCTTAAAAGCTGCTTCTATGTTGGTTTTAGTACCGACCCATTAATGAAAATTGACAATAATTATGTAGAAAGCCTTTGGAGCTATATGAAAGTCCAGTATCTTATTTATAAACTATAATATGCCTCATGTTTACCAAGGTTTACTTTAATGATCAATTAGTGATGAGTGAAATAAATCATATTTTTCGTATTTTTTTAAGAATAAATTTACATTTTTAAATTATGCAGTTTTTGAAATATGTTGAATTGTAATATCTTCATGTCAGACCTTCATAGAGTAGAGTGCTTCAAGACTGCGCACTTAAGGTTTAATCAGGTGTAAAAACCAAACCAATTGCGGTGGAAATATATTTATTTTCATTTATACTCGGTTCACAATTTCTTGATAGCTCACTACAAGTTTAAACCTAATTAGAGAACTGAAATACAGAGAGGATAGGTAATACGATATTATAGTAAAAACCAACCTAAAACTGACGATTTAAAATGTTTTCGACTAACCCACCTTGTATCTGCCGGAATACAATACAGCGGTCAAGCTTATAATCCGATTAGGAACGTATTTTGGCCGACCAGTGTCGTAGAGTATGATTGAAACATTTATTTGAACTAAATAAATATATTTTTTAAATTATATTTTTGTTTTAATAAAACTTATAGTAAAATAAAATATTTTATTCAAAAATAAAGTTTGTTGCCATTTGTAAAATATACATTTAATTAATTAAGGGGAAAGGCACCAAATGTGTTTTAAATGTATCCATTATTTTCGAATTCCGAGAAAACTAATAAATATTTTCGAAAAATTTAAAAGCAGAATGAAAGATTATATTATTACTGAGGGTATTATATATGTGTATACTGATGTATATTACAGAAAGTCCCTGAAAACTTCTACAATGTTTATTTTATTATGTTATGCAACAGGGTTGAAAATAAAAGAGAGAATATGGTATAATTTTTAATTGAAAATATTGCATGCAAAAGAAACTTTTTATATATTCTAATAAATATTTTATTCTGCCTTTAAATTTTTCCAAAAAGGCTTTTTAGTTTTCTCAGGATCTGAAAAAAAAATCGATACATTTAAAACACATTGAACATTTTGACAGGCGACGTTTTGCGCTTTTCCCCTTTAATAACTTACGATTACAACTACTATCACTTACCTTATATAATTACGATTAGAAAACTATTCAAATTCAAAATAAATAGGATCAACTTCGGAATCCGAGTCGTCTTGAGGGTTAATAATTAGCGGTTGTGCCTCTACGGTCGCATCAATTATGTTATCAAGATCCCATATTTTTTGTTCTTCTTCTATTACATGTCTTACTGCATCTTTCCAGTTTTGTTCTGTAATGTGTTGTAAAGACTCGTATAACAATTCACGTACAACTTGTATTTTATATGACGTATTTTTTCTAGTCACATAACTTTTCATTTGTGCCCAAATGAGTTCAATTGGATTTATTTCGCAGTGGTAGGGTGGAAGTCTAAGGACTGTGATGTTTCTCCTTTCCGCCATTTTGTCAACTACGTATTTCTTGAACTTAGATTTGTGTTGCCGGGCAATTTTTAAAAGTTCTGCTTTTACCATTCCATATTCGTAAGGCAGGTACTTATTCCGCAGCCAGTCAAGAATATCCTGTTTTTTCCACGCAGTCGTTGGAAGTCTTTCTACGAGTCGTGAATGATAAGGTGCATTATCTAATACTATAATTGAATTTGGTGGTATGTGTTCAATCATCTGCACAAAATACTCTTCGAAAACATCAGCTGTCATTTTCTCGTGATAGTCTTTTGTGCTTTTGGACTGAAATTCCAACAAACCATGCTTAACAAATCGTTTTTCACTGACAATGTGAGAAATTATTAATCTACTGCCTTTACCAGAAGGTGGGGAGATACCAGTAGACCAACCTTCCATAAAGGCTTGCCAGGAGCTTAATATATTTTTATCTGACCAAACTTTTTTTAGAGTATGACCTGAGTTTACCCACGATTCATCCTGGTAGAAGATTGGCCTTCCTTCAGCCCGGAATTTTCGTATGCATCTTAGATAATTTCTTCTTCAACATATTATCTCCTCCCGGTCAATCAAAAGTGATTTTCGGTCTGATTTCTCCCACCGGAAATTTAATTTTTTAAAACTTGCCACAATTTAATTCGTCCGATATGAGGCAAATCCGGATCATCTCTAACTTTTACTAATGATATATATGATATATTACTAAATATATCAGTATTAAAACATTATTAATATTAATATTAATTTTAATGAATAAACACCTCAGGAACGCCTATGATGATACAAATTTTACGACCGTTTGATGATTTTGAGGCATATTTCGTGCTAACAACAATTTGTGAACAGAGAATAAGTAGGTTGATACATACAAAAGAAAAGAAATTATAATTTGCAAACTAAATGTTATAATTTTAAAAGAAAAAATGAATTTAAAAAAAAAACACACTCGCATTTTCTTTAGTATGTACCTAGTGCAATTTTACTTTTACAAATTATACAGAATAGAGGAAACCTGTATAATTATTCCAGGAAATACTTTTTTATTTTTTTTATCCTATTCTCTATCCTTCCATTGTTGGATATAGGTCTCCCCCAGTTCTCTCCATCTTTCCCTATCTTGAGCCGTTCTTTGCCATGTGGGACCTCCTTGTTTCCTGATGTCATCTTTCCACCTCATCTGTGGTCTGCCTCTTGATCTCTTTGCATTGTATGGACGCCACTTTCCGGTGGCATTGTTCCATCGTCCGTCTTGAAGACGTTCATTCTGTCCAGCCCATTTCCATTTCAGTTGTGCTGCTTGCTCTATCGCATCTACTGTCTTTGTTCTGGTTCTGATCCTGATAAAGATAGAAAACGTAACCAATGGATCGGAAATACTTAACGATCAACAAATTTATTGTGGTCATTAAAAGATCAACCATTGATAGTGAAACTCACTGTTAAAATGTTTACAACCTTATGAAATAAAATGTATTCTAATAGTTTTTATAATTTTATACAATTTTTTAATCGTTTTTATATTATCTGGAATTTATGATACAAACAAGATAACGACACTTTACAGTAGCTTCAATTTTACCTGAATACTTACGTGCTCAACTAATGTTGACTAAGCTAGGGTACTTGCGGTCGGGTTTTATTGCAATCATTAAGCACTCAATCATTTTCCGTGAAATAAACTATACATTGTAATGTACGGTACGCCTAGTAGTGTATCGTACGAGATACAATATCAATAAAATGTCAAAAAATTTAAAATAGAAACAAAAATGTAATTGAATCTGAAAATGGAGCCCTCTAAAAATGATATTCAGTAAGCAAAAACATTTTTCTTACAGCGGTTATGTGCGCACCAAGTTAAGGGTTGAAGTTCGTTTTCTGCTGAAACAAAAAAAATATGGTTTTTTTTTGTGTGTGTTTTGGCTTGGACAATTGTCATTCAGCCAGTCTCAATCAAGATTAGTTTATTAATGTAGTGTGTGTGTCTGTGTTTGTGTGTGTAGAGTAATTGTCTTGATACTTAGCAAAGTCGACGTCATTGTCTTTGCTAAGAGACGCTAATTGTATCCGAACGTCTGCGGTCCCTCCGGTGTGTACCGATCACACAAAGATAGAAATTATTTTCATTTATTAATTTTTTTAATAAACGAAAATTTCCACCCAGGTGGTATTCGAACTCATGACCTTTAGGTTTAAAGGCAGGCGCTCTTACCACTGAGCCACAGAGGGGGTTAAAAATATGGTTAATCCGTTATAAAAAAAAAAAACCTGCTTTATTAGAGTGCGCGCGTGGTTGCAATATTAATGACTGCGGACTCTTACAAAACGAGCATGTATTATAAAACGTTAGTGCTACAAATAATGTTTTATTAAATTTTCTGTAGGATTGCTAAATTACGAGATAAAGCGTGAAAACCCTTTGCTCCCTTTTTCCAAGATGGCGGTTGGAAGACAAGGGTGGCGACCCTACAAACTGAACTTAAGCTGATTCCATCCGCTCTCACATATCAAAAAAATAAAATTACTTACTGTCAAAAATGTAATTTCAATATAACTTTTCAATGGACTATCTAGCCACTAATCTAAAGTATTTATAAAATTTATTTATTTACAGTTTACTTACCAATTTCTTTAAAAATAATCTGACCTGGTAGACAGACAGAAAGAACACCACATTGATATAAAATGGATTGATTATTTTTTAAATTAGACTCAGAGTGAAGCAGAAAATGAAAAGTTTGAAACAAAATTTTTGTACCGCTAAAATATTTTTTGTTTTCGCTTAATTTATTAAGACTCTCCGTGAAATGAATATTTGTGAAATTAACTGACCTAATTAATTTATGTATCAAATGTAGGAATATCTGAAAGCAATTTATTAAAATAATTAATGGAGACCTCTTTCACTTGAATTTCATGCTTTGAAGTACAGTAAAGTATTTCCGTGGATCCTTTTAAATATTAACATTGTTAGTAAGAGATGTTTTCTGTCTATATTTTAATTAACCTAGAAAATAAATGCACTTTACTAATAAAGATAAGCAAAGAGGAAAGCTTTTGGAACAAATTTAAGAAGACAAGAAACTTATAAATCATATAAAAACCTTCAAAATGGCGTTTTCTAAACGTTCCTATGCTTATTTGTTATAACCTTTATATTACATACAATGTTGGATCTTGTGGTGCTTAAAACAAGATCATAATTTCAAGTCCATCGGTCAAAGAGTTTAAAAGTTATTTAATTTGTTTTTCCCAAATTAAATTTTTTTGCAACAATATGTCAGAAAATTAAATGGGTATATTATATATACGGATAGATTCTAAAATATTTATTCTATTAATATTATTTTAAAAAATGAGGAAAAATAATTTTAAATATTGCAAAATAATTTGGTAAAAACATGTCAATTTTTTGCTTATAAACAATT